ATCTTATAGACTAAACATTCCATGATGTCATCAGCGTGTGAAAGGAATGCACGTATATAGTTATACATAAGAGTAAGGGAGAAGCAAATTTATATTTCTTGTCTTTTTCTAGGTATGCGTTTTTGATTGTTTTCCCTCCTTTTTTGACATTAACGATGTCAAGCTCTTGTGAATAACATTATTATTATAAGCAAACAGGTAATTGAATTTAGTGTTGTTTGTGGGTTTTAGTTATTAGGTAAGGTTAAAAAGATGGTAAGTTTAAGTTGTAGCAATTTAGGATGCAACAGCATCAGTCAACGAAAAATTGATAATATTACCTTTCATCGGTAAGTTTGTTTTGTGCTTACATTTGCTACTTGTACTGATTAATATCTATTGTTTTGAATATAAAGTGTAACATTTCATGTGTTTAATGAACTTTGTGATGTATTTTGTCAAATATTTGGACTCCCAAATTGTAAATTCTTCATGATAATGCTCCTTAATTTGAACGGTCATTCGAAAGCTTAAAGTCATAACAAACGTGTACTTTTTGATTTGGTAGGATTATAGAAACTTTAGGGATATCAGCGAGTACAATAATGTTTTCGCATTGTTGAATAATAATTGTTATTGTGATTAGTAGTTATGTCCATAAATATGAATCACATAATGTTATACATATACATACACTTTTATGTTCAGCTTTAAAGGAAACTCCTTATTGCCCTACAATTCTTCAATCATTTTCCATATTACATAGACGTCACAAATAATATTATGTAAGTATCAACCTGAAAACATATTTGGATTCAAGTACATAAACATTGGGCAAAGTATATTTAATTTCACAAAATATGTATTGCCTGAAATCAGATGCACAAAACTTTATTGCATTCCATTAATTCTATTATACATTAGCAACAATTACATTACAATATTTATTAAAAAAAAATATGTCATACTAATATAAAAATAAATATAAACATAGATAAAATAATAAATAAATAAATAAGTCTTAATCTTAAGGTACACAATAACACAACAACTTAAGATAATATTCTCAATTAATGATGTAGAAAAAATTTGATGATAATATACTTACCGTTACCATTAGTCAGTATCAAAAGTCAAAAGTTATAGGTTTTGTGATAATTGCCTAGCTTGGCAGGAGAATTGGCAACTGCAGTTATTTGGAGACATACTGTGTCGGAGGTCTATGTTCAGCGGTGGAGGACATTTGTTAGGCTGTAAATGTATTAATTAACATTATCTAAATCTTAATATGTACATAATTTTTTAAAATGTTTGGTATGAATAATATTATCATTACATTTACATATACTTGTTATTTAATTCAATCAATTGATATTGTTTTAATTGTTATAGGTATTGTATTTATGCAAAGATACACATACATGATTTTTTTTTTGTTAAATACCTTGATATAAAAGTGTACTATATATTTAATATATTAATTTCGTTTAAATATATTATTTCACAGCTTTCCTAAGGAATCAGCTATCCGTAACTGTTGGATAATCGCTACTGGTAGTGATTATAGGTAACCAACAAAACTTAGCAGTGTATGCTCAAAACATTTTAAGCCTCATTGTTTTAGATGGACTAAATATGCTTAACTTATGTAATTTATAATATAATTAAGATAATTTTTTTAAATGTTATAATTTCTTGTTGTATCTTGTTGTTTCTCCATAAGTGATATAAGTTTGATCTTGTTGGTAGTTATGATTTTTGACATTGTTCTGTATGTATTAAAAATTGACTAGCATTGCTTATTTTATTTTAAAATGCTGACATTCTGTATTATTATGACTTGTAATAATTGGGTGGCATGACAATGACAAAATATTTACTTATAGATGTATTGATTAAACATGAATCCTCATTTACAAATGTTGGAACTTTATCTGTACTGCCATGTTTTATGCAAATAAAGATTTAAATAAAAGAAATAAATAAGTAATTTAAAGTCCTCACCTAAATATACAAATGAATAATTTATTATGCAATAATAATTGTAAAACTGACTGGGAATGCCTACCAATGGGACATTTAGTCCACCCTTAATCCCTTTTATAAAGGTGTTATAAACATTAATGTGTAAATAAATTACGAAATAAATGTAATAATAATGATAATTTCTATTTAATTGTCATAAATAATGACATTAATAAAGATGTTTTTGACAAGAGATAAGTATTACCTATCTAAGTATAGTTTAGGAGTTGTACCTTATTATTTATACCATTAGAATATATTATATACAAGGCAAATAATATATATATACATATATATACTCCCTTCTAATCCAATTCTAACGACCAGCACCCAAGAATAAATCAAGTTTACAAATGCACATTTTTGAGAAATTCTAAAGCTACTCAAACCAAGAATTACAACGAAAATTACAAGGAAAGAAGACAAAAATTTTGTTAAATTTGTTGTTTATTAATGCGATCAAAAATTAATAAGTAATCATTTGTTTATTTTGATTTTATTGAATTATATTTAATATATAATTGTGTTTTCATTTCTTTTACTTATGAATGTTACATACATTGTTAATATTTCTAAATGTTATGTAAGTACACAAAATTTAGTTCTTTTTCCTTTTTAAATTTCAATATATTTTCATTTAAATAGAATATATATCTTTACAGTCTATCAAAAGTCCACTGTTGAACATAAACATGATTATAGTTATTTCGCATAGTTTCAACGCTTGGAAAGCGGGTTGTCAACCACTGTTTTTTTTTTATTTAGCTGTTATCAGGACAATGCTGCTGTTTATCTTCTTTGATGTTTCCCTACACCACCCATGGAATGATATGAGATAGCAGATAATCTTACACTGCATGGTAAATTAAAATAGAATATTATAAAACATTCGTTTTTGTTTTATATACCAACATATTACAAAAACAAACCCTTTTTGATGCTTTACAACGTATATTTTCTTACGTGGTAGAGCCATGTTGCAGCTATATTATGGTTGTAGCATGAATGGGTCGGCTCGACCGGGGAAGGACCACGCTCTCACAGAAAACCAGCGTTAAATAGCAGCTTAACGCTGCTGTGTTTCGTATGGTGAGTGTAGAGAACCGGAGACCCTTTTTACTGGCAAAGAGGCATTCCATCTTAGTCCTCACGGGTGACAACGCATCTGCATCTTGAGTCTTTTTTGAGGATAGATTTAGATGTCTATGGGTCACAGTAACCACTTACCATCAGGTGGACTGTAAGCCTGTTTGTCACCCGATCCTATAAAAAAAAAATATTAACTAAACATTTTACCACCTTAACCATTAGGTAACATGATTAAGCCACGTAACCATAAGTAAGTCACCTAATAAAGGCCTTCCACAGATATCCTCATAGGATGACTTTTGCCATAGTTTCCACGCCTGCGTGAAAATATATGTTATGCTGGTTCGCCACCGCATTTATTTATTATTTTAAGTTTTCATCAGGAAAGTGCTGCTGCCCCATCCCCATCTTGTATTATTGCTTACGATGCGGGGTAATATCATCCCGTGTACAGACAAATTCTCTTGTACGCCACAACTTGCCGCACACAAGACACCAACTTAGCAAAACATGCAGGAAATCGCGAAAGTAGGCTCATAACCGTGTTTTGTACTACAAAACGTAAGTGGAAACCCTTTCCTTTCGAAGGTCTGTGTTCAGCACTGAACTTGTGATGGAATGGTATGTTAAAACATTGTTTTTTTTTGTAAAAGCAACAAAACTTGACACAAGGAAATTTTTGTTTATTATTTAATATTTTTATTCTCAATTAATATTTAAGTAGATACATAACATATTGTTATTTATTAGCGATATCACACTTTGTACTATTAGCGCCTTCACTTAGTGCCGTCGAAATCCAAAGAGTTATTGAAGGTCCAGTAAAATCATCGATGCGCCGTTGAATACAGAATGATGATTTTGTTTTTACGCCGTTTCCGCCCGTAGTTTTTAGTCACAGAATGTATTTTCAAGAGAACTTAATTAATCATCTGAATTATAAAAGAACATTTTTTATGGTAACAATTAAGTTTTTTGTATGAATGTAAGTGCTGTGAATATAAATAAACCCATAACGGGGGAAATGGAACAATATCTGGTAACCCAGTGAAAGTACCTCCCGCCTATTTCTATCTCAAAAGCATACGCGAATGCTTTATCTAGTCAATCCTCTATCTACGGTTCATCAAGTATTATTACAATCGGTTTAGTCATTCCGAAGAAGACAGACAGACAGTCAAACAGTCAATAATTTTAAAAATGTTTATTAATGTCTTGACAGTATGCAAATAATCTTCTCAGCTCAATAAAAGGCAGTTATTTATAATGAAGTTGGCAACTCTACTCAGGCTCAGGAGCGTGCTTTAAGATAACAAACCTAAGCATTAGGCTTATGGGGGGGGGGGCTGTATTGATGGTTATAATGATATAAACATAGAAGATTACTCTAAGGATATAAAGGTTTTATACGTGGTAGTCCCGCTGCAGCTATATTATGGTTGTAGCACGAATGGGTCGGCTCGACCGGGGAAGGACCACGCTCTCACAGAATACCAGCGTGAAATAGCAGCTTAATGCTACTGTGTTTCGTATGGTGAGTGTAGAGAACTGGAGACACTTTTTACTGGATATGAGGCATTCCATCTTAGTCCTCAGGGATGACAACGCATCTTCTATTTTATTTGTAATCGAGGATAGATCTGGATGTCTACGGGCCACAGCATCCACTTACCATCAGGTAGACTGTGTGTTCGTTTGTTAACCTTATTCTATAAAAAAATCATGATTAGAATTTGCAATAATTTAATGTAAATTCTTCATAAAAATCTGCAACTCTACACTGTGCACTAAAACAATGAACACCTTCCAATTGAATCGATGCTAATGTAAACTCTAAAATCATACATTTAGCTTTATTTCATATGGAATGATTGAACGTAAATCACCATAATCAATAGCTTTCTTTATTAATTTTCAAAACAAGGCACTTCGTTTTCACTGAGTTTGATTATCAAGTCTCCTACCGCGTATATTGGTTCATTCGCTCTATTGAAAGTTAGCCCTCTTAAATTTCCAATAACAGCAACTTTATCTAACGCGTACTTATATTTATTATAAATATATACTCCATTAGTAGCACATACATAAGCCTTGGAATATATATCTGTTGACAAAACATCCACTGTAATTTTTTCGTGTATGTTAACTGCTCTTGTGCCGAGTTTGATACGAAACAGTGCCTTATCACTTACAAATAGCATATTGTAATCGTTGTCAATGATTAAATCGTCGACAGCAACCCCGTGTAATTCTCTAACAATAGCTCCAAATCCATCTACAAATCTATAAACCTCTCCTTTCGTGTTGACGAAGTACAAAACATCTTTGAAAAACACACTTCTGACGTCATCTTGAATTGGCAATCTTTCTGCTTGTTTGAAATCGTTAATTTTATATAGACCGTGTCGACTCCCGACGTACACTCTGTTAAATTTTTGATCGATAGCAACAGAGCTGGCGTTTTGGATGCCATCGATTACTTTAGTTTCTTTTGTCTCCATGTTCATGTAGCCAACAAGTCTGTTAGGAATTATGTCTATTTGCTCAAATGTGAAATACAATGTGTTGTCATTTCTGTTTAGTATCAAACTGTCTAATCTATTAACGCCTTCTTTGATTATATCGATGTTGTAGTATTTACCGTTGAAGTAGATACCGTGGCATCGTTTGTCTGCTGTAGTGGAAGCGATGACGAGGAAGATTGTGGCTAAGAGTTTCATTGTTGGTATCTGAAAAGAGATCATTCGAGAAATTTAGTAACTATAAAAGATTTGAATAAAACTAATTTCAGGGATTCTATCGCGTTAAGCATACACAACTTATTTTTAGTTATTTTAATTCCCGATGTTTCTGATGCTTTAGTATACTCATTGCCACCGGGGGGAGAGCTGGGGTGTGTGACGTTCCGATTTCATAGTGCACACGGCCTACTTTCAGCTTTTGAATGTTAATTTTTGGTCGATCTACGCAGCACGAGCTTATAGTATTTTGAAGTGTTTAATTTTATTAATTATAGAATCCCTAGTTGATAGTAGCACCCAGCTATCTTTTATATTATAATTTGGTTATTTTTTAATTTCAATAGACTTGCGAATCGTCCTTGGTAGTAATCGGTGTTCTTTTGCGGAGCTTTGTAGTTTATCAAATTTATGTGATGGAGAGGACGATCTTAAACATATTCACAGCATGCTGACCTCCAGGAACTACACGCCGGCTTTAATATATTTTTTTAATCCGTAAAAATAGTTTTATTCAATATGTAGTATTCGTGTAAATGTAAGAAATAACCATAAATATAATTGTAGTGTTTCTTATTTTTATCAAAATGTTTGACACACATAAACTGCACTTAGACAAACAGTGTTCAGTGTAAGATTTGAACTCGTTGCCCGTAGCGTCACCAAACTAAATCACCGCGCTATGGATCCGTCACATTGACCATTTTAAAAAACCTTTTTAGATGGACAGTTAGACAAATGTGTAGTGCCAGCATTAGCTTATTACACCATAGAATTTTCGAGGTCATTACACAACAATGGTCGATTATGAGCACAGAACGTGATTACACTTAATTTGGCTCGAAGCTTGAAATCATCAATGTATTTGTTGTACTATAAACATACTAAACATATATTTAATTTCAAATGAAAATTATAATCCTTTTAAAACACTAAAAACATGCGAGATGTAACAATATCCATCTCCATCGCACTTTTTCTAATCTTGCCATGAAAGAAGTATAATTTAAAATGACGCATAATATTAATAGTTATTCATTTATTTGTATTTGTTAGTCAATAATATAATATGTTTATCAACAATAGCAATAACAACAACAATAACAATATACTACGAAAGGAACTTCGTTCCAATCGAGTGTTCCACGACACTCACGCATGTTATTTTTAAATTGATTAATTGCTATTTTTAAATAAAAAAGTGGTTTTAGTGGCTTATAGTGTAGATTTAACAAATCCGCATGAAGGTGTAAACACGATAACTTTTTAAAGTGTCAATTGTTTAACTCAATCTATTTTTTAATCTCTTCATCTATCATGTGGGAAGCCATGGAATGTAAAGTAAAGTAAAAAAAGTAAAGTTGCAGACTAGTTACGTCACACTGCTGGGCACAGGCCTCCTCTCATTTCTGAGAGGGTTTTAGTGCAAGGAAATGTCCGCCGCGCTGCCCCAATGCGTGTTGGCGAACTTCACATGTCTTCGAAATATTTTTTTCTTTTTTCTCAGACGTGCAGGTTTCCTCACGATGTTTTCCTTCACCGCCGAGCACGTGGTAAATCAGCACTTAAATTTGCTACAATTTCATTGGTGCCGGCGGGTATCGAACCCGGGTTGCTCGAGTACTGTGAAGCTTACAGCGAGCGCTAACCATCTGAGCTATCACGGCTCTATGGAATGTAAGTGGAAGTTTAATTTTGTTTTGTTTAGTTATAAAGTTTATAGTTGTTTAGTCATATACGCACGGATTAGAAACGAGTAAATAAAACAAACATGTTTACATAAATTAAATATGGCGAATATGATCTGTCAAGAATATAGCTATACCTAAAAAACAGAGTAATTTCATACGTATGTACATATGTAAAGAGACGTATGGTGGCGGTGTAAGAATATCCACTACCCTAAGTCCACTAGTCAAATCCAAAAATAAGCAAATAAGCTGTGTATATTTTCTGCAACAGATATATTTGTCAAAATTCTAGGAGGACCAATAAATTCTGGTATGTACCTATTATCACAGACTCATAATTTAATTAAACTCATCAGCATTTATTTTCCATTCAATACGTCATTGGCGAATTTTATCAAACCGCCACAAAAAAGAAAAAAGTGTATTTTCAACAGACCTCCAATTTTGCACTACGCTAAAATCTATGATATTATCACATGAAATATTTAAATATATCTTAATACTGCAGTCAGATTTATTGTTTTAAATCAAAACTTACTTGATTTTATTTATTTTTCCAAGGCTATTGAGAATAAAAATTTAATTACTTTGACTTAAATATACACTTATAAACTTACTATACTATTTATAAACTATATTCTAAGGTAACATGCACGTAAAAAAAACTTACCGTAAGTTATTCACGATGGTCAGCACATCATGCGTGATACCAACATTAAAACACACACACGTATGGTATGTTTGTAGGGCACTGGGACTGGGGCTTGGGGCGTTCGAACGGCAGTCGGTTATCTTTTGTAATTCTACGCGTATTACATAAAAGTTACGTTTGTTACGGTGTTGGTATATTATTTTGAATACTAAGTTGCTTGTATTGGGCATCAATCCCACATTGCAGCATCTTCCTGATAATAGCTGATCTTTACAAATAAATAAAATCGAAGCGTCTGTCTGTAATATTTACATAACAAGGTTTTATCAGGCTCAGGGGGTTATTTGCGTGCTATTAATCTTTATATATAAAAATTACGTGTCACATTGTTTGTCCGCGATGAACTCCTAAACTATTGAACTGATTTCAATGAAATTTTGCACACTGTGTGCTGCAGTTTGGTCCAACTTGAGAAATAGGATACTTTTTATCCCGATAAGTGACCTTTAATATTTTTTGTTGCGAATTTAAGGATATTTTTATAGGAAGGAGCGTCGGAAAGGGCAGAACAACGTCTACCTGGCCAGCTAGTAATAATATATAATATACCATTTTATTACATTTTTGTGTGCCTGTGATAAAACTTTACGAACAGATAGACATCGATGCCAGCAGGTATCTAGGCTGTATGTTTTATTCAAAAAGCTTGGAGATTTTTTTAAAAAAGAACGAAAATTAATAAAATAAATGGTCTTTGATAATCTTGAATATAAATAACCACACATTAATAGATCCATAGAATTATTACGCGTAATAATTCTATGAATAGATCCTATGCCGGCGAAGTCCGGGCGGGTCGTTAGTAAATAATGAAAACACTGCAGTTACCATCCCGCTTGCCAAGCGGCATATGGCAATATCCCCCCCTACAGAGCAATCCACGGGGTCACCTATGTTCAGCAGTGGACCTTTGATAGACTTTGTAAAGATGATGAATTAACATAAGAATGGGCGCAGTGACTTAGCATTTGCGTTCGGCGTTGTTGTCCGTGGGTTCTATTTGTTTGATCCTGGTCTGTCCATGTGTTTGTATGTCACCATCCGTCCAGGATAGAGTAAAGAGGGTGAAAGAATAATGTAGCAGTGCACCTTTGCAGTGCACCTTCTGCTGTGCTCCAATTTGAAGGATAATACCCAGTATAAACGTATGAGTCATTTTATTTTAGTTCTCGGGGAAGATATCGCATCCGTGGCCTTCATTATAAACTTAATAGGTGTCAGTGCGCTGCAAAAGGCGCTTACGATCAGGAGCACTATTAGGTACCCAGTTTGTAACTCTAATAGAATAAAAAAGGCAATTTAGGTGAAAATTGATTTATATGTTCTGTAATGATTTCTTATATTTAGTATTTACGCGAAAACTAATTTTACGGATTTTATCGCGTATGTTAACTTATTTTATATTCCCAACGTTTTGAGCACTTTACAACACCCATGGTAACGGGGGGACTGATATAGGACAAACTAAAAGACCCATAAAAACCCGCATTAAAGAGCACATAGCTGATGTGAAGAATCGACGCTCCGGGAAGTCTGCAGTCTGTGAACACGTACAGGATCGCCCCCGTCACTACATTAGATTTGATAGACCACAAATCCTCGCTAAAGAACACCGATTCCTTCCAAGGATGATTCGCGAGGCTATTGAAATCAAAAAACATCCTAATTTCGATAGAGAAGAAGGCTAGGTGCTACCATCTGCTTGGGATCCCATAATTAATAAAATTAAATCCCAACCCAAGCATACAACTGCAAGACTTCAAGATACTGTAAGTTCATACTGCGTAGATCGGAACAAAAATTAATAATTTTTAACCTGGAAATAGCCGTGGTTAACTATGACATTGGGACGTCAAACACCTCAGTCCCCCCGTGACCATGGGTATATAAAATAAGTTAATATACGCGATAAAATCCGTAAAATTAGATTTATTTAAATATAAAATTCCAGTTCCACTTAAATATATATATAATAAAAGATTGTTAAAAATTAAACTTATAAAATTTTAATATTAAATAGAAATCCGCGATCCAAACTAGTTCAGATTGATAACGAACTTGATATTGACCTGTTACCTCTTCTTGTTGATTTATCTAGATAGGAATAAATTGCTTGTTGTGTAGTAATAATAACTGCTGTGAGGTTTTTATTTATTTGTTCAGCAACAGGTCTGTTTTTTGAATTAAAGGCTTGGCTGAGAACAAATAGGAAAATGTTAAGCGATAGTTTTCGATGTGATTGTAATAGAGCTAACGGTGGTAGAGCCACGCAGCAGTTTTTGCTGTTGCACGTATGGGCCGGCTCGAGCCGGGTTGGTACCACGACCTCACAGAATACCGGCGTAAAGCAGAAGCTCTGCTTCTGCGTTTCGTCTGGTGAGTGCAGGTGGCCGGAGGCCCAATTCCCCCCCCCCCCTGATGAGGTGGTCGCTTCCCAGCAGTTTCTAATAATAAATTTTGTAAATAGTTCGTAATCATTTATATTGTAAAATTTATTTAAAAAAAAGTCCCGCTGGGTTTCTTGCTGGTTCTTCCCAGGACAGAGGGTTTTTTTTTAAAATTCCGCTCAAAAACATAAC